AAATTTAATAGTGAATCTTGCATACTTTTGGCATTCCACTTTCAAAATTATCTATATTGTATATCAAATGGCTGGATTAGACCCGAATGTTCTATTTAACATTCCTATTTTTTGAACCAACTGTTTTAAAATACTGTATATAATATTGGAGTACGCATTATTTCAGAACACGAATGTGAATTCATATATGAAAATTCATATATGAAATAATGCCTATGCCCACTATTTTGAGAATTTATAATAATATTGTTTTGGTAAATTACAAAATTGGTTGTGTTTAAACATGTAGGTATTAATTGATTTACAAATTTGTATAACATATAAATTGTTAGTCAAAATTAAACCCGATTTAATGTTAGAGTAAGGTTATCTTTAGAGTCAGAAAAGGTTATAACTTATATTAAAATTTTTTGTTAGAACTCCAAAAATGTGGCTTATAATCAAAATTTTGAGATATCAACATACCTGTGTTTAAACACCCCATGTACAAAATAGTAATTCTCTAAAAATATTATATAGTATTTTTACTTTAAAATTTTATAACAAAAGATTTTATTAAATTAATTTTTTTGAAATTTTTTTTAAAACTGTAGTTAGATCTCGACATAATCACCAGGTTAGGAAACAAACATTTGGTAGTTATAAAATAGTGTTAATATATTAAGGTTAAATTTTATATGTTTTATAATGTTTAAAATCAAGAAATAATGTGGCTAAAACAAGGTTGTAACTATATCAAAAAGTAACTATAACGAGGTTTGACTGTATATATTTTATACACTTATTATTAAGATTTGGATCTTATTATTAGAATTTAGATCTTATGCCTTAATTCAGATTTTATTATTAGAATCTAGATCTTATCATTAGAATCTGGATCCAGGTATTAACTCTACTTTAACTTATAACTAAGTAATTTTTTTTGAAATCAAGTTTGTTTGTTTTTAGCAAACTTTCTAAAATATACAGTATTTAAACTAAAAAAGTTATTCTAAGAACAAGTAGTAAAACAGTTCTTACTAAAATAATAAAAGCTTAAAAAATTTTATATACTATAAAACTTATAGAAAAATATCATATACCTTAGTTAATTTTCTACTTTTTTTTAATGAAAATTTTATAAAAAGTATATTACTTAGCTTACCTTCTTTAAAATTTAATATAAAATTATTAAAACAGTTAGTATTACTATAGATAATCAAAAATAAGCTATTATTTTTAGCTAAAAGTTATACAAAAATTTTATAAATAGCTTATTTTCAAAATTAAGTTTTTTAGAAAAATTAAAATATTTCTATAAATATTTGTTTAAATTATACAGTTAAACCTCCCTATAGTTACCTTCTAATAAGTATATTTATTTTAAAACCAATTATTATAAATATATAGAAAATAACCTTTTTATAAGCATATTTTAGTAAAATTTCTTTTACAATCACACAAATCTTTATGTGAAAATAAGAAAGTTGGACTGTATAATATTTTTAAAATAAGTATTTTTATTTGTATATGATTAATATAAAGAGCTAATTAAATTATATAATTAGATGTAATATAAAATTATTGTTTTCTTTAAAATATTATCTATATCTCAAAATTTCATTTATAAAACTACTTTTTGAATTCCAACAAAAAAAATTCTTGTAAAATTTTAATATAAACTATAACTCTCTCAATTCTAAATATATCTTTTTACTCTAACCCAAAGTAGAGTTTTATTTTTATTTTATAAAAATTATTATGATGATATATTACACAAAACTACAAATTAATATTTATGTTTATACACATTATATATAATTATAAATCTCCTTTTAGAATATATATAACTTATAAACTAAACAATTTCTATTATAAATCTAAAGTCTGATTTAGCATAATTTGTAATAATTACCAAATTCGCAACAATTGGGTTACTTTTATTGGGTAATATATGAATATTTTTTTGCGTACGTACGTACGTACGTACGTACCTACATGAAGGATATTGTAAATATTATGTAATATCTGTCTTTATAATAACTTATATTAAAGCATCCCTATTGATGTCATTAGTTACGATGATTCGGGTTGACGTAAATTTCATATACATATGACGAAACCAGGTTAAATAAGCTACACCTCTGATTCATAATTCAGTAATTAACCAAACTAAAAATTTACTGATCAATAGCCAAAGGATTCTTGAGTCAAAGTGGGCTGGTCAAAAATGGCCTTTTTATTGATAATATATAATGCATACATTAACATACATAGATATATATATATATTATATAACAATTTAACTAATTTGGCCAATGCTAAACCCTTGGTCAAATTGGTCTGGTTAAGATTGATAATAAAAAATACAAATACATAAAGGTATAAAACTAACTTTTTAAAACATTATATATTTTTCTATTCACATCATAAGCTTAGAGTCTGCTCTTATTATTCATTTTTACCTATTTGGAACCTAAACCACCGATAGCATTTATCTTCTTCAATAATATTTTCATCATCATCAAACCAAGTTTTCTCAACAAACACTACATTATCATCACGATCCACAAGAATAACAGTGCTTGTTCGAGTGACATCATGGTTATCAGATTTCGGTATTCGAATAGACATCTTAAAATTTGAATTTTCGCCGGGATACGTGGTACTATCAAAATAATAATAATGATGAATAAAAATTTTTAGCCATAAAATAATAATAAAATGAAAATACTGTACCTAAGCAATTGAAATAACCTCCTAATTAATTGTTCTTCAGTCTGTTCTTGCTCACAAATTGTTTTCATTTCATTATTACCAAACTTTACTTTTGGCCAAGGTTCATCTAGTAAAGAGTTAGATAATCCGTAAATCTCTCCGGATTTTAAATGTTCAATCTTGCCAAATCCTCTATTGGACAAATATCTCATTTTTGAATGCTCATCACTTAAGTCCACACTTATTAAATTAAATCCACCATACATATGAGATTCACTTTTAATAGTATTTAAGCATTGTTCTAATGGATAATTAGATTCCAAAATTGTCTTTATTATAGCTCCGCGAGACAATAAAAGTCCTGAGTCAATATTTTGAGGTTCATGGTAATTGGTGATCGCTGCAAATCTTCCTGCTCTGTTTATACCAAGCCATGTTCCATGGACAGGTCTAAACAAATCCAACCGCTTAAGATGTTTTGGTTCCACCATGAAGCAAGTGAAGTTGGCCGATTAAGGAATTCATCTCGATTTGCGGCAAAAAATACTATAAAGAGATTGTTTAAGATAAAATTAAATACCATAAAAAAAACAAACAATACATCTGCTTATATAACAATATAAATTTAAATGAACAATTACAATTTATATTTTAGAGAACTATTATCTAACTTCCAGAATAATACGCACATCAAATTGAAATTTTTCTTGGGGCAAATTTGATTGGTTATATATTAATTATATATTAAGAATATATTAAGTGTATATTAAGAATTTTTTTACAGACTTACTTTGGAAGGACCCTATTTATATATGTATAAAATCTAGATTAGTATCGATATGGCAAAATGATTTGCAAATATATTGCATGATAATTACACATGATAATTACACATGATAATTACTAAATACTTAAACTATTTGGGGGATGATGCGTTAATTGCCCCCAACTTTAAGTGTCTAGTTTACAAACTTGATCTTCACTGCGCCCGTTGCCCCAAGTCCCCAATAACTCAACGTCAGAGCAGAAGATATATATAAATACGATTAAATTTTTACTGAAATTTTCATCCTTCCCTATTTTTTTTTGCTTCGAAAAAAAAATTATCGAACAAAAATTTTTGATAAATTTTGTTCGATCAGTATTCCATTAAATCTCTTAAAATAATCATGGCTGCATTTTCTATTTCAAAACAGCCCGCCAAAGTTGCTCCTGGTACTCAAACAAAACCAAAAAATTGGCATATTCGCGATGACCCGATTACATGGAATAATTGGTATAAACATGTCGATTGGATTCACGCAGTTTTACTTATTTCATTACCGTTGATTGCACTTTATGGCCTTTTAACGACCGAAATACAAAGAAAGACAGCGATATGGTCTATTATTTACTATTATATAACTGGTATGGGGATCACTGCAGGTTCGTAAATTTCATTCTCGACAAGTCACAATAACTGTCGTTGTTTGCAAGTAAGAAATCCTTACCCGATCATTTGGCCTAGAGTGATGATCGACAAAAACCTAAAACAGATTTCTTACGAACTTACTGCGGATCACAACAAATATTTGTATCTAACCTGAATCTCTTAAAAAAAAAAGGTCATCATAGACTATGGGCTCACCGTGCATATAAAGCATCTCGTCCGTTCGAAATATTTCTCATATTTGCGTGCTCCGGTGCTGTAGAAGGTTCTATCCGATGGTGGTGCAGAGGACATCGTGCTCATCATCGGTGGACTGATACCGATGCAGACCCTTACAACGCAAATAAAGGACTTCTTTACTCTCATATCGGCTGGATGCTTCTAAAACAAAATCCAAATCGCGTCGGAAGGGCTGATATTTCTGATTTAAATGCTGACCCTATGATAATGTTTCAACACAAACATTATTGGTTATTCGCGCTTGTTATGGGATTTATATTTCCTACTATGGTCCCTGGCTTTGGTTGGGGTGACTGGAGTGTAAGTAAATTCTTCATAATTTATGTTATTTTATCAATTTGTATTAAACTATAATTCATTTATAACACAGGGAGGTTACTTTTTTGCCGCTGTATTGCGTCTAGTTTTCGTCCATCACGCCACGTTCTGTGTTAACTCATTAGCTCACTACCTCGGTGACACTCCATTTGATGATCGTCGCACACCACGTGACCACTTCATCACCGCTATCTTAAGTTTGGGCGAAGGATATCATAACTTTCATCATGAATTTCCAATGGACTATCGAAATGCTATTAAATTTTATCAATATGATCCAACAAAATGGTTAATTAAATTCCTATCATATTTTGGTGCTACACATCATTTAAAGAAATTCCCTGAAAACGAAATACATAAAAGCATGGTAGTAATGAAGCAGAAAAAGCTAGATAGAGAAAAGTCGAAATTGGATTGGGGTGTACCATTGGATAAATTGCCTAT